GTGCTGTTCTTGCTCCTCTTCAGCCACAAGACTTTTTTGTCCTATTAATAAACAGAAAAAAAAGTCTCTCTTTTTATTTTTTCTCTGGGGGCTTCTCAAATCTCAACACAAAGTAGGAGAGAGAGAGAGAGAGAGGTGGATGGTTAGGTGGCCAATTGAGGTGAGGGAAACAGAGGGATTAAGCTGAAAAAGGCAGTGGTTTTACTTGTGGGGGTGATGAAAGGGAGAGATTATAGGCCAAGGTGTTTGTTTATGAAGGAAAGGTGATAGCTTGGTGCTCCTTTTGGTGCAAGTGGGAATTGACTTATCAAAGGGACAAATGCCCCTGACATCACCCAAACAAAGGAGGGATGACCACTACCTGCTTGCCTTTTGGTTTGAACAAATCAATATCCATTCCACACCTTTTGATTTGTCTAATCAATCATCAACCTCCTAAAGACTACAAGTAAATTGCAGCCACCTTTTTTTCCTTTCTCTGCAAGAAACTGGGTTTTATGGATGACACATCTCACATGACTTTTTGTGGTTTGAATCATAAATCTCTGTAAAGGTGGATTAAGGGAAATGAATCTTTCCATGAGCAAAAAAGACAAGTACAAGTTTCCTTTGTGACCAAGTGAATTTTATTTAAGAATATCCATAGATTGCATATTTTGGAAAGCTTGTAGAGGTTAGATTATATCAATTAATTTGTCATTTTAGCATGTGAATCAATTTGTATATCTTTAATATTAAAATGTCATCCATGGATGCACTCTTTGTTTGTGGTGTTAATGTACAGAAGAAGACCAAGAAGAACAGCAAGATGGAAATAGTCAATTTAGGGGGTTTTGCTATTCATTTGAATTATAATCTCAGTAATCATATTTTCAACAGAGAATCAAATCCAATTTGATCCTGCATTGTGGTGTTCTTCATGAGCGAAATTAAACCTTCAAGAGACATGATACACCTAATCTCATTTCCTTTTTCTAAAGCACATCCTGTGTCTTTGGTTTAGCACATGATTTGAAAACAGTGGAAGAACACAAATCAAATTATGCTTCCATTGGATTTCTATAGTGTGGAGACCTGGATTTAACATTAAACAACTTCCAACAGCTACTTTGAACTTGATAGGGTCATCATACTGTCTCTTTAGATAACACCAATTGACAGGTGCTTCAAGCCAACAAAAACAAGAGTGAGATACACTGTCAAGTAACCTAACCTATACCTATGAACAAGTTGACATTTGTAATTCTTGTTACCTAACAATAATTAGCCCCACAGAATATTTTTTGACTGCTTTAATACTCAAAACAGTTCCTACAGAAAAGCCATGGTCTTTATGAGTTGAGTGAGAATGATGTGATTACTGATAGGATGTCAGTGGATAGCATAAATATTTGGTTGGCTGTCTACCTACCAATCCAAGATGGAACTATGGCTTGTTCTCATTATATTCTTGTCTAAATTTATCTAATCTTACACCTTGAAAAGATAATTAGAGAAATAATATTGTAACAGGACATCTATCAAGCTAAAAAAGCTGTGTATATATATGAATCTACCAATCTTTTCTTGTAGCCAATGGCTAATATACAGAATGTTCTGCAGTGGACAAGCTTATCTGAGTTGAGCTTTTGTGAATCTATCAATCTTTTGTGAGTCTTTGAATCATTCCTTTGTTTCAACTGGTTAAGTAAAAAGTTGCAGGATAAGCTCAGGCCACTAAACAAATCCACCACCAGATCTGAAGAAAGGGTGCAGTAGTAAGCCTGCATGCGCACTAAACACCATTAGGTAAGTCTTCAAGAAACTTTTGTTGCTGCTTTTGTCTTTATTTTAGTATATGCTGTGTGTGTGTGTTTAGGTTTTGATGTATTGTGTCTAATACATGGATCCATTAACATCCATCCTTTGAAACCTTATGGATCATATGGTTCTTTACTGCTAATTCTCAGAAAGCTCTATAGACAAGTCACATGATATGTAGAGCAGCTTAGTTTAAGGTCATCATCTGCAGACATCGAGTTTTGAGGATTCGGATCCATGCATGCATCTGATCCATATCACTGCCATGAAAACTGGATGTTAGCTAATGTCTAGTGATAAGGGACTATTTGGTTTATCATTCATACGGTTCGTACCCGTACGATTTTGTCCTCCCAAAAATATCTTTGAAGGTAAGAAAGATCTAACTATAAATCATTGATTCTGATACTCCTCAATCAATATGAGACTAAATGATCTTATCATCGAGCATAGTCAATTGCACGAGCCAAGAAAGTCGAACTAAGAATCAAAAATCTTCTTTGGGGCATCGATTTTCTCCAACAAATGTGACCTTTCGAACTGTGACTTCTCATGTTACAGTGACTTGAAACCAACAGCATTTCTTCCTCCACAAGCATCTCTGTTTTTTGTTTCTGGAAGGGCTCTACAAACATCTCTTTGGGTCTTGAAGAAATAATAAGGGAGTATTCTTCAGTGTTGTAATGCATATATTTATATAGTCAACTCTGTGATTAGGTCAAACTGAGACTTTGCCCGGTTGGACTTGGACTAGACTCCATGCCAAGGCCTTCGTCTTCTCAACTTGCATGTCTGCTAAAGCAGAAGCCAACTATGGCTCTCCTCTTGCAACCCACCACATGACATCCACTGGTTTCAGACTCTTCAGCCATGGCTTCACTCTGTGAGGTGTGTTGCCCCCATCTGGTGGGACCTCCCTGCCATGCTCAAGATGACCTCATGCAGAGACTTCGTTCCCCATACCCATACCCCAGCATGGCCACTGCAGGTCCTCCAGCCTTTTGCATCACAAAAGAGGACAAGAGAGCTTCTTGCACTTCACCCATTTAGGCTTCTGTAACATCAAGCTCTTCTGGTGGGCCATCCCAGTGGAGGGACCTACACAGCCATGTCTCCATTTGCTTGGTGGCTGCCAAGTGTTGCAGGTGATCAATGTCCAGCTGCCATAATCAACAATGGTGGCCACCAACCATGCCATATGATGATTGGGTTTGGTGCTAACTACAAGAAGGAAATTAGGTTCTTGTCCATAATTTGGCCTACCTTTGATTAAGCCTATAGAAAGCCATCAATTCTAGTGGTGAAAAATAATATCCATGCATCATCAATCATGAATTGACTAATTCTTTATGCCTTTTTTAGGGGATAGACCATCATCATCGTCATCATAGTCAAGCAATCAATCAAGATATCCATTCCTTTAATAATATAATATTTTTATCATTGAGGGTACATTTATTATAATTCATAATCATTGATTGAAAAATATATAATATATATAATATTATAAAAAAATCTATAATATAGTGAAAAAGATAATAGACATATTCTTCATCATTATACCACCATAAATAAATATATTTTTTTAATATATATATATAATAAATTTAAGACTCAAACGATCCAATTGATCGATCGATCTGATCTAAGTTTTGCGACTATGATCATGAGCCACTCATCGATCGAACCATGCATGAGCCTCATCTCATCTATCGTCAACCAACAGAGGATCGACGGTTCATTTTGGGTCTGAATCGATGGCGGGTCTCCTCTTTCCTTGTCTATCTATGTAGTCTCCTATGACTGCTTGATAAGAGACCACGTTTATCCACTTGGAAGAACGGCTCTTGTACGGTCTAGTTTGACTCCGTCGCAATTAGCTGGCTCTATATAGATTTTATTGCGCAGGATCTGCCGACAGATCCACTTAGATTCCGTCATCCACCACGACGTCTCATTTGTCGGCTGTCCTCATCACGCATCCGATGGCGGAAGCAAAGCACCCAAGACGAAAACACTGGGTGTAAGCCAGTTGACTTGGTCAACTAATATGGGTCCCTTCCCCCGCGGCCAGTAAGAAGGCTCAGAATGTCGTATCCTGCTTGAGCAATTACATGTCAGCCGCGACCGGATTCAATTCCGTCGTCGTCACCGCCCGTGTCATCTTTGTTGCGCTATGATAGGGTGGATGGAAAGGGATGCAGCTGAGCCCCGTTCTTCGGAAGGAGCCATGCACGTTCCTGAGGAAGAAGGCTACTTCTTCTCTGGTGGGTATTGAGGCATGGGACACCATGACCGCTCACCCACTCTTATTGTCGTCTTGCGATTGCCTGTTTCGTGTGGTTTAGGGTTCCAAGTTGAAGTACGAACAAGCAATCCAATCTCATCATCCATGGCCACGAAGTAGACAGGTATCTTAGTCTGAAAAATCCAATCTTTCATAGATATTTTTTTGTCTATTTTGGAATCGCAGAAGACAAAAAGATTCCACGTTGAAACAGCCTTAGCCATGAGAATTCTTTCAAGGGATACATCTTTGCTACCAGGGAAGAATCTTGTATTTAGCTCTGGCTGTTTGCCCCCACCAAGAGAAATATGACAGGGAGCATCTTCTAGATATCTTGGTTGAGATCAACCAGGCATCAAGTAGCACAACAACATAATTGAGATGATGCCATGGACTTCTTACTAAGATGATAGTGAGTCTAGTATACAGCTCATACCATGTATGTCATACCGACCTGAATAATGTTCATGTGAGGAACACTCAAATTGGCTGCACCTGCCCGGCAATTCCTCCTCAAGAATGCATAGAAGTAGTTTATGACGAGCTTCTTCCAGAACCAGGACTCCTTTCTTGCCCTCACATCTCCATGGGCCAACAGATATGTGAATCCAGAATCCATTGCTTCTCTTAGAGCCGAAAGTTCATATTCCAAACTGGGATCTTCGTCGGAAGTGATAGAGCTTGACGGAAGCAATGAAACTCCTGCTTCAGAAGTAGCGCGATTTCTACGGATTCCTGTATCAGATAACAGTGGAATTTGCAGTTCATCAACTCCACTCGGTGCAGCGGAATCTTGGGACCTTACAGACTCATGATCATGCTCGATGTCGATTGGACTCGTCTCCAATGCAAGCTCTTGAGCCTCCCTTCTCAAAAACTTCTCAAGGCTCTCCACCAAGAGCTGCTCAAAATTGTGGTGGTCTTCCTTCCGGATATCCTTGTATCCATAACGGGCAACGCAACGGAACATATGGTAGTCCTTCTGGCAGACTCTCCGAAACAAGAACCTTTCCTCTTGGGGGACAACCGGAACAGGGACATACTTGATGCAGACAAAAACGATGGTGGAATGAATTGCAGGGAGGGTAAGCAGAAACTGTCCAAATATTGAAGGAATGCCTTGGACTAGCTCATTGTACACAAGTCCGATGCCAGGGACCCTAACGGAGCCAAGGGTGGATCCAAGCTCAACCATGAAGTCCATGGATATCTTCTCTCGAATCTCACTCTGATACTTCAACACACTTCCATAGTTCCAGGTGTACATGACACATAGAAAGCAGGTAGCAAAAGCAAGAGGCAGCCAGCCGCCTTCCATTATCTTGGAAAGAACTGCACACAGGTAAATAAACTCTACTGTACCAAATACGGCGGGAAAACATAGAGCAATAAACAGATTGGTTTGCCATATAAGAAGCATCACTAGTGTCACCAATGAAGTGCTCACCATCATCACCAGAACCTCCGCAATACCTAGAGAAAGAACCAAATCAGTCATTCAGCTCCGCTATTTGCATTAATTTATCAAAACATCAAGAAATTACATGAATTACATAGGTCATCTATGAGATGGAAATTGACAATATGGCCGAGAGAGGTGAAAAAATAAAGATGAAAAGAGAACATGAAGAATCCAGCAATAACTAATTAAAAATTATAAATAAATATATAATTCTACAGGAAATTTTGAAAAGGTGCTTCTTAACAAGAAGATAAAAAGTCTAGTTACCATAGGCATTGGCGATGTCTGTAGTATTCCGGAAAGTAGCAACAACGATTATGCACATAATCATCAGGAACCAGTTGATGACAGGAATATAGATCTGACCCATGAATTTCCTGGATGTATGGATAATCTTAATCCTGGGAAAGCAACCAAGGGCCATGGATTGCTTTATGCAGGAAAATGTTGCTGAAATCATGGCCTGACTGGCAATCATGGCCGCGAGCGTGGCAATGACAAAGACTGGCCAGAATAAAATATCTATACAACAAATTGACATCAAATAATGTGTAAGCTAGTTACAAGGTAAATCTTTGGACTAGAAAATTAATCTTTAATTTAACTTAGATTGAATAGTATAGAGAAGGCTCACCTGGGACAGAATCATAGAAGATTCCTTCCACTGAAAATGGATGTTTCATCAAATACGCAGCTTGGCCCATGTACGCCAAAAGAAGACATGGAAATACGGTAGATGTGAAGGCTATCTGCACATACAGTAGGAGTTAGTGAATAAAAACTGTCTTAATTGCAGGGGTCGATCACGGCATCACCCTAAAGAAAGATAACTGTGATAAACCTGTATAGACTTTACAGAGAAATGGCCCAGGTCAGCAAACATTGCTTCAGCTCCTACAAACATGAAGCAAAAGGAAATTCCATGAAATATACATAATATGTCAAAGCAGAGGTCAGAAGCTAGTCAAAATACATTTAGCTGGTAATAAAGCTAAAAAAAGCACTAGGGAGGTAGGAAAAGTTCTCTCAACACAATGTATATGCCTACCACAGCCACAGAAAAAAACATAAAGCACAATCACGTATATTATCTCTTTTGGTTATTTGCACTGTAACGAGTATTGCATCAGGTGCTTTCATCAATGCAGTACCCAAAAAAAAACACAAGATGCATGGAAACATATTAAATCATTCAGATCTATTTACGAAAGGCATCCCTGGCATTGACGATTATTCATTAAATAATTAAGTTTCCTTAGATCTTCCTCTTACTGCAGCTGACTCAATGTGGTGCTTATCATTTAACCAAGGAATGTCGAAACTTTAAACTATCTGGATCTACAGTAGCAGTCAGTTACGATGTGGAATTTGTTAACTCATTGATACTCCATGGTACATTGCCTTTCTCAATTTTCTTTTTGTCTGTGTCAAGATGGCGGTACCATGTTGTCACGGCCTTCCGCTGTATCACGCCAAGTGGTGTGCCAGTGTTCTGTAAGCACAACTTTAGCTCACTCTCACCATAATATATCACAATTTTGATTATACTCCTTGAGGGCGAGCGTCGACACCACGGTCAAGGAAATAAACTCGTTACTTAAAAATAAGGGTAAGACTGCCTTCCCAGCCCTTGTATCAATGAGAGACTTATAAACTAAGCAACTATTTTTATTTTGAATATTCTCCTTGCACTAGATGAACTAAATAATCTTTAATGACGACAAAACAAACAAATTATTCTTGAGTTCCCATTTTTTTATCTTAGGCTGTTAAGATAATACTAGATCTACCTACAAGATATTCTAATACAATCAAAACAACTATGACTTATTAAGGCCAAATAATAAAAATAAGCATATATGTTACTCATCAAAACTGACCTACCAAGTTGCTCTAAATTTTGACCACATGACTTTATTCAGCTTGGACATGATTATATTCTTCACAGGATGCATTAGGGTTATTACTAGCTTTGAGTTAGATTTAGCGTTAACGATAAAACTATCCTCAATCACTGTATCAGAAGTGTGATCTATGGTGTGAAGTGTAAGCCAATATCCTAAGTCATTATAATCCTCAATCACTATATCAGAAGTATGATCTATGGTGTGAAGTGTAAGACATTACCCTAAGTCATTTTATAATGTCTTCAAATCTAGATTACCCATAAAACTTAAAGATGTAAGTGATGTCGAGTCACTACACTCTTCATGGCTAATGGCTATACTTCCATTGAAGTACAACAAGCCTTAGCCACCCAAATCCGGATTAAGCCTTTTGGTAGAATTCTGGGGTTGGCGCACTTCCACATGCTTAAAATACGGTTGGTGCACCGCCACATTAAAGTCCAAGTGACCGCACTCCTCTTTACTTTCTTGCTCTTTACCCATCTATAGTCAATAAACCACACTAGCCAATGACAGAATTATCTGAAAACCAAATCTAGAGACTGAAATGTTGAGATTTGATTCATAGTTATCTAGGTAGTTATCATGATCTAGTAGTTATAGGGTGATTTCAATAACTACCTCAATCATGATCTAGTAGCTATAAGGTGGTTTCAATAACTGCCTCAATCATGATCTAATAATTATAGGGTGGTTATTACTAGGTCCTATAAATAGGACCATAGTTCATGAAACAAGGTATATAGAGAGTGTGTGCACTTGGGAATATCTTGTAAGTGTTCTTGTCAATCCTCCTGTTTTTAATACTATAATAGTATTCTGTTTTTTCCTTGCTCCTCCATCCCCAACATTTGTGGTATCAGAGCCTAGTTTCAATATGAACTGGGCATTATGACTTTCAACGGCAATTCCATGTCTCAACCCTTATCCCAATCTTCTCCAGCAAATGCTATGAATTTTGGAGTATCAAGATGAAGACTCTATTCAAGTCTCAAGATCTTTGAGACTTAATAGAGAATGGATATGCGGATCCGGATGATGACGACAGGTTGACTGATGAAGGATCTAGTTCGAAGAGGAACAAGGGTGGAAAGAAGAACAGAAGAGGTAGAGATTATGAGGATGAGGAATGGACAGGTGAGATCGAAGAAGAGAATGATGCTGTTGGAATTGGAAATGCCAGGAGATCCAGGCACTCTACTAGATCTAAAGACCCAAAAAGGCCACGTAACGATAATTTAGCTGGTACAAAGAAACCTGTGAAAGGCAGAGATGTTAATCGTTGCAAGGATGAACTCGACGACGAAGAGGAAGACGTTGATGAGTGACTATAACAAGAAGGAACCAGTTTGTGTTGGTTCATGGAAGTTTATTCCGCACTACAAAAAAGTAAGTTGAATTCCCTTTGTATCTCATGACATGCATATATGTACTATAGTTGAGTAATAGCCCATCTCTGAATCTTTTCTCTTTTCTGTATACTAACCAGAAAATCTAGAATTGTTTACAATGTTGTAGGCCAATCTTAGTGGTTTCAAGACTTGTTTTGTCAAAAACATAGTAAAATATCATAAATTTTTTAATGTTGGGGATGGAGGAGCAAGGAAAAAACAGAATACTATTATAGTATTAAAAACAGGAGGATTGATAAGAACACTTACAAGATATTCCTAAGTGCACACACTCTCTATATACCTTGCTTCATGAACTATGGTCCTATTTATAGGACTTAGTGAGAATCACCTTATAACTACTAGATCATGATTGAGATAGTTATTGAAATTACTCTATAACTACTAGATCATGATTGAGATAGTTATTGAAATTACTCTATAACTACTAGATCATGATTGAGGTAGTTATTGAAATCACCCTGTAACTACTAGATCATGATAACTACCTAGATAACTATGAATCAAATCTCAACACTCCCCCTTGATTCATAGTTGCATGTACCGATTTGCGACATAAAATAAACATGCTTTTGAACTGGAAGCGACTTGGTGAGGATATCCGCAACTTGTTCATTTGTTCCACAATACTTCATTGTTATGGCTCCACTTGCTACAAGATCTCGGATGAAATGATAGTGTATCTCTATGTGCTTCGTTTTTCCATGAAATGTTGGATTCTTCATCATGACAATATGGCTTAGAAGACTTCTTGAAGATCTTCATCAAGAACAAAAAGAAGCAACATAAATATTTTGTGACAATAAAGTCATAATTACAATGACGAAGAATCCAACATTTCATGGAAGAACAAAGCACATAGAGATACGCTATCATTTCATCCGAGATCTTGTAGCAAGTGGAGTCATAACAATGAAGTATTGTAGAACAAATGAACAAGTTACGGATATCCTCACCAAGTCGCTTCCAGTGCAAAAGCATGTTTATTTTATGTCGCAAATCGGTGTATGCAACCATGAATCAAGGGGGAGTGTAGAGATTTGATTCATAGTTATCTAGGTAGTTATCATGATCTAGTAGTTACAGGGTGATTTCAATAACTACCTCAATCATGATCTAGTAGTTATAGGGTGGTTTCAATAACTACCTCAATCATGATCTAGTAGTTATAGGGTGATTATCATTAGGTCCTATAAATAGGACCATAGTTCATGAAGCAAGATATATAGAGAGTGTGTGCACTTGAGAATATCTTGCAAGTGTTCTTGTCAATCCTCCTGTTTTTAATACTATAATAGTATTTTGTTTTTTCCTTACTCCTCCATCCCAATATGAAAACCACTTAGAAGTTAATTATTTTAAATGGTTGATGATTTTAAAAGACTTACATGAAGTTAAGCTGGGTATGTGAACAAACAACGATTATACGCATTAATGTACAGAATCAGATTTCAGTTTCTTCTCATCTTTAGAAATTTCAACCAGTGTACTAGGATAATCAAATTAAACAAATTAGGAAAATAATATTGGACAAAAAAAATCCATAATGAAGTATTTGAAAAGAATCATTAAGAAAAAAAAAAGGATAATTATCTGAAGTTATGTAGTTAAAGAAACCTGTGATGCACAGAACACAACCGCCAAGAGCAGACCATGCTTTAGTGCTGTTTCTCTTGAAAAAGAAATATATATATGCTGGATTGAATGCTCTTAGAACAGAAATATCATACTTAAGTATGTTGTATATTCCAATGGACCCCAAACTGAAGAACCAAAGTGCCAAAATAGGAGCAAACAAGAAACCCACTTTGCCGGTCCCAAACCTTTGTATACTGAACAATACTACAAGAATTACAATTGAGAAAATGACCACGGCATCTGCAAGAAGAAATTAAAATATCATGAGTTGACACGAAATTGACAGTACTAACAATTTCAAGCTAAAAGGGAAAATATGGCACTGTAATGGCTTGTGCATGTTGGTTCAGATGCAACAAAAAACTGTCACCAACCTGTGTCGAATCCTGAAATTCTGCCTTGAAGGCCGCTCACCGCAGACATAACTGCACATGAAACGGCTATGAGATATAAACATTAAGCAGAGTTTAGACAGCATAACCACAGCCAAGGAACTAATCCCTACTAGTTAGAAATGAGAGAGCAACTGCATGTGAGAAAAATAAACTGGAAAACTGATGTACCTGACATGGATGGAGTAAGAATGCCATCTCCAATTATCATAGAGGTACCCATCAGGACCAATAACAACAGAAGACGTTTTGAAAAAGAATTTTTCTCCAAGAGTTCTTTTATGTATAGTGCTCTTTCTAGCTCTGGAGTAGGCAGCTTGAGCCTAAAGCTGGAGATATCTTCATCGGCACGCTGCTGATTTGGAAGTAGACTAACCTTGGCATATCTGCATATCAGTGAATACAATGCAAAAGTTCCTCCTGCAGGCACAGATGCAGTGAGTGTGGAACAATCAGAACATAGTGTCTTTCAAATTGAAACATGATACATCACAAGCAATACAAATAATAAATAAATGTGTAAATATGATATTCATTTTCTCAGATAAATAACTTGAATTCTGTAAATTAAACAGCTACATGTGAAGTTGTGAAAAGGCATGGAACTTTTCCAGAGTCTTTCAATACCTTCACCATTGTCATTTGCTTTCAGCACTATAAAGATGTATTTTGCAAAAGGAATGAGTGCGATTGTGTACATCACCAAGGATAAGGCACCCAAAACATCAACTTCTGATTTAATTGGGACTTTGCTGAAGACATCACTAAAGACATATAAGGGACTCGTGCCCATGTCACCATAAACAACACCAAGAGTCTGAAATGCCATAGCAACCGTGCTCCAGATTGAGATGTCCTGTTCGATTTGTAGTGAAAGAGTGAGAAAGCAAGACGAAGTTAGATTCCACCGATACCACACTATACGGAGAAAAGCTCCATCGACAGAATAGGAAGCAGGACACCGTATACCACACTATGAACGCAAGAAAATCCAACAAAATCGAAAATAACACGTTTGTCATTAGCAAGAGCAAAGTTCCAACGACACAATAGGAGGCACCGAACACCAATGACCCGCCTCCCGAGATGGTACCTTTTCGCGACGCTTGTGAGCGTCGGCGATGTCCATGGCCTCCACGTCCAGCGAGTCCACGCTCCGCGCCTTCTTCACCAGCCTCCGCCGCAGCGTGGCCTGCAGCTCCGGCCCCAGCACCAACGCCTCCTCCTCGATGGACCACGGCGGCGACTCCGAGTCCACCTCGCTGCCGTCAACCCACCGCACCGTGCGGGCGCTGCTCGCCTCCTCGACGATCCCGCCTTCCTCCATACCTTTCCTACCCCCTCACTCCTCCAAGATCGGATTTTGGACGCCTCTTCCCCTTGGTTCTTCCCAGCCGAAGCGAGGGAGAAGAAGAGACTTTTCTATCTCTGACACTGAAGCCAGCACGGTTCTCGTAGAAGCGGAGTTGTGTTTGGAGACAGAGCAGGGCCCACAAGGGGTAACCTTTTGGGTGGAATCGACGGTGGGTCTAATGGCGACGTTTGAAACGTGCGCTGCTAACCAACGGTTACGTGTATGGATATCGATGATGGGCATAAACAATGCACATGGTAGCATAACCCATCCTATATATTCCTCTCTCACCAGTATATTCAATGTTGGTCCGGAAACCTGCCTTGTGATTGGGACAGATTTCGAGTCATTCTTGGGACCCACCTATCAGCCACCGATGGCCACAATCAAAAGGCTGGTAGATCATTTGGTAGAGGAGAATGGGAAGGAAAAGAAACATCGTGTCATATTGGTCCGTGTCTTCATATATTATTATGGGAATTATATCAGATATAGGGATATCAAAGAGACTTGGTGACACCAGTGAGTCAACTAATTGACCCATGGTTCAAGAAAAATATTATTTTCGCTATAAATACTACATTATTGTGTATATTTTATGATATATATATATATATATATAATATTTGATTTGTTTTTTCTTTGGTTTCTTGCACTTTATTCTCTCCTTTCTGTCAACAAGATATTTCGTAATACTTCTTTTATTTTATTCTTATCTTTTTTTTGAAATTTATATTTAATTTTACTCTCAAATTTATTATTATTTTTATGTGTTTACTAGTTTAATTGATAAAAATTTTAATAAATCAGACTTGAATCTTGATTTTATCACTTATTCATTATAAAAAAATAAAAATGAGATTGACTATAGTGCTTCAATCACCATCAATAATATAATACTTTAAATTATCTTTATAAAAACCTGGAATAGTCTTGAGAGAATATTAATGTGAGAGATATCGATAATGTTTGGATTAACCCAATTTGGTTCAAATCTATGTAAAAAAATTTAAGTGAAGTCGAGAATATCTTCGAAGCTTAATTGAGCATCGACCTACACATAGATCGTTCATCGTGCATCCAGTGAGGTTCTAGATATGATTTATCTGATAGTTTAATTAATCATGAAACAAAAAATAAGAATTGTAAATATACAATAATTGATATCGATTAAAATTTTTTATAATATATTTTTTTTATATGGGTGAAATATTTTTTTTTATTTTTTTTATATCAA